GTGTTGGATGATATATGACAAAAAAAAAAAAAAATAAGATTCGAAAAAATTAATCAACTTGTATATTCTTGTATCATCATATCTTAGGAGGATATCAACTAGTATTTAGTCTTTAGAAGATATCATCTAGTCTTTTAAGGATATTGTCCAGTCTTTGCATTATATTAGTAACAGTTTGGATGATAAAATCTAGTCTTGTAAGGATATCATCTTCACTTAGAAGGATATCAACTTGTATTTAGACTTTAGAGGACATCATCCGGTCGTTGGAGGATATCATTCAGTCTTTGGATTATATCACTAGTATTTTATCAACTAGTATTTTATCACTTAAGGATGATCATTTCACTTAGGATGATATTCACTAGTATTTTATCAACTAGTATTTAGTCTTTTAAGCAAATTTTAAGATGTTTTGAATAAGATGACAAATTGAATACATACAGGTTAAATGATTAAAGTGTTGGATGATATATGACAAAAAAAAAAAAAAAAAGATTCGAAAAAATTAATCAACTTCTTGTATATTCTTGTATCATCATATTTTAGGAGGATATTATTTAGTCTTTAGAGGATATCATCTAGTCTTTTAAGGATATCGTCCAGTTTTTGGGTTATATTAGTAACAGTTTGGATGATAAAATCTAGTCTTTTAAGGATATCTTCTTCACTTAGGAGGATATCAACTTGTATTTAGTCTTTAGAGGATATCATCCGGTCGTTAGAGGATATTGTCCACTCTTTGGATTATATTAGTAACAGTTTGGATGATAAAATCTAGTCTTGGAAGGATATCATCTTCACTTCGGAAGATATCAACTAGTATTTAGTCTTTAGAGGATATCATCCAGTCGTTGGAGGATATTGTCCTATCTTTGGATTATATTAGTAACAGGTTGGATGATAAAATCTAGTCTTTAGAGGATATCATGTAGTCTTTTAAGGATTTCGTCTAGTCTTTAGATAATATTAGTATAGGTTGGATGATAAAATCTAGTCTTTAAGGATATCATCTTCACTAAGAGGATATCAACTAGTAATTAGTCTTTAGAGGGTATCATCCAGTTGTTAGAGGATATCGTCCTGTCTTTGAATTATATTAGTAACAGGTTGGATGATAAAATCTAGTCTTTTAAGGATATCAAATAGTATTGATTGTTTAGAGGATATCATCCAGTCGTTGGAGGATATCAGTCTTTTTAATCGAGCTCGTGAAGCCCGGTACAACCAGGCTTCAAACCCGTGCCTTTTTTCTAATTCGTGGTTTGTGCTTTGACGAACGAGATGTGTCATCAGTCCAGCCGTGCATAATACTTCTCATTTTCTTATTAGTTCTAAAATCAGTTTACTGATCATTTACAAAGTTGAAAAAGAAATGCTTATGTTTCTATTTAATTTCAAGTAAGCAATGAGTACTGTTAGATATTCATTTAGGGATTAACCTACGTACGTGGTATGTCTTTATATTAAAATATGAAAGGTATAGCAATTAGGGTTGACTATCTTAACTAAGTGGTTATGTTAATAGCTAATGCATCATGATACATATTGTACTTTAAGTATTCTTTTTTAACTGTATAAAGTAGCAGTCATTTTTATTTTTTTATTTTTTTTTTACTATTGTAGTATACATATTGGACATAAGTCACATAAGTGACATAACAATGCAAAAAATGCACACTTCTTATATTAAGGTCACTTTCAAGCATTTCCAATATTGATTGCTGTAGTACTTTCATTAGTCAGTTTCAATTTATTTATTTTTTTATTGAAATGTTTCATTTGTTTATTTAAATGGACATTAAATATGATATAGAATAATGTGGGAACCAGTTTATGGCAAAATATGGCTACTTGTAGAACTTGAGTAATTTGGGATGATAAGAATGTAGCATTCTAATAAATAGTTTATAACAGTTTGATTTGGATTTGCAGAAGTTATGCTTATCATTAATAATATAAACTGCAACAATGCACATTATTAATTGTGTAGAGTATAAGTTTTTGTGGAATATCATCTGTTACATTTACATAAGCCATCATAGATTAGATTCTTCTCCTATCCTAGTAAAACCCATAAACCATATGTTAGTTATATCAGTATTGACTACGTTCTGCATGTCTTTGTTGCTAATTTTACTGCTTTGGATAATATCATATAAAATTGCCAATAGCAATTTTTTTTTTTTTTTTAAAGTCTAAAAAGCATTGAATTTTGGAAAAATTGGTAAAAATAATCCTAACATTTGTCCATCCGCTCAAAATAATCGCAAATTTAAATTATTTTTAAATAATCCAAACTTTGAGAGTCATTCGCTCAAAATGGTCCCAAGTGCGTGACTGATAACCTGTTAAAAAGATTTTTTTTTTTTGTTTAAGTGAGATGTGTCACCATATGATTGGTTGAAAATAAATTAAAAAATATAAAAAACCTAAAAAAAATTAAAAACAAAAAACCCTGCCCCCAACCCACGACAACCCCACCACCACCCACGTCTGGTACCCTTCGCCAACGGGCCCAACCCAAGTCTCCGGCCCCACCCTGCTGTGGCCAGACTCCCTCCCTCGCGCCGACACCGCCCTTTGTTTCCAGCGGGAGACCATTAAACCCGATGGCTGAGAAAGGGTGGTTGGGGGATTGATGTGGTGGGGGGAGGTGGTTTTTAGGGAGTTAGGGTGAAGGTTTTAGGGCTGCGCCGGGAAGGAGCAACTAACAAGGGGGTAGGGGAGACGTTGGCACAGGGGAAGGGTTTTCAGCCACAACTAGGGGTAAGCACGGATCGGATATCCGATCCGAAATTCACTTTCGGATCGGATATCCGTATCCGAAAATTAGGATATCTGATATTCGATATCCGATCCGAAAGCTTCGGATATCCGGATATCGGATATCTGAAGCTTTCGGATCGGATAGCTCGGATATCCAATATCCGACCTTTTCAAATTATTGTTTAAAAATTCATTTAATGGCCAAATTAACTTTTTGTTAAGGAAAATTGATAAATAGAGTACTTGTATATTGAAATTGAGCTAAAATGAGGATCAAATAGACTAAATTTTTTTAAAATCCAACAACTAATTTCACCGATTTCAAAACAAAGAAATTTTACACATTGTCACAAATTACAGAACATTGCCTGAGTCCTGAGACCCCTTGTCACAAAAACGAAAAACGATTAAACTAACCCTTTACAATTTAAGTTGAAAAATAAGAAGTTAATCGAAGTAGTAATACAAGGGACAAGGAGGGGGGTTATCAATCCAGCCACCACCATGGCTTACAGGCGCCTCCTCTCTCGCTGTCTGAGCTTTCAATCTCACAGCTCCTATTCTGCCGTCGTCGTCACCGCCCACTCCTCCGCCTTAGCTGCCAACACCATCACCCCCACCCCAGATCTGAACCCCCTCCACCCAGACCCGAAATCAACGGCATCAGCAACTCAGCAAGCAACAACATCAACGACATCAACAAGCAACAACATCAATGGCATTAGTAGCCCGACCTCCAAGCCACCATCGCACATCTCTATCTGGGGTGAAGAGTAAATAGGGGGCGGGTTTCGTGGGTAACTGGGGTACGGTTTTCGAATTGAAGAGGAAATAGGGGGCGTGTTTCGTGGATAGTTGGGATACGATGGTCGGGTTTCAAGTTGGTTGGTGGTCGGAGTTTCAGGGTGGCTGGTGTGGTTGGAGTTAGGGGGTTTTGTGGGTGGTCGGATTCAGGGTGGTCGAGGTTAGGTGGAGAGAATAAAGGTGGTGGGTGGTCGAGGTTAGGAGAGAGAATAAAGGTGGTGGGGTGGGGATTAGGTGGTGATGTGGTGGTGCTTATGGTCGAGGTTAGGGAAGAAAAGGATGGAGCCATGCTGCCATGGAGGATTGTTTCAAAGATGAGGAAAGGAGAGAGAAAGCCAGAGAGAAAGAGAAGAAGAGACTTAGAGAGGCGGGTGGGGGGGTATGGGGAAGTGGGGATTGAGGGTTAGGGTTTGACATATTTATAATGGGTGATTTTTTCGGATATCGGATCGGATATCCGATATCCGACTTTTTTCGAATATCCGATATCCAAAATCCAAAATTTGAATATCCGATATCCGAAAAATCCAGATCGGATATCCGATCCGAAATCAAATTCGGATCGAATATCCATAATTTTCGGATCGGATGCGGATCGGATCATCGGATTTTCGGATCTTCAGATAGTTTGCTCAGCCCTAGCCGCGACAAGGGTGGGGATGGTGAGAAGCTCCGGAATGGGTTGTGGGTGGGGGCTGATTTTGGTTTTTTTATTTTATTTTTTAAAAAAGTTTTTTAAGTTTTTAATTTATTTATTTTTATTTTTCAACCAAACAATCACGTAGTGACACATGTCACCATAACCTAAGACCATTTTGAGCGAATGACCCGATTATTTAAAAATAATCCAAAGTAAGGATTATTTTGATCAAATGAACAAAAGTTGGAATTATTTTTTACCAATTTTCACTTAAATTTTTAAGTTTTCTCTAATCTAATTATATTTTGGTAATTCTTAAATAATCAACCTCTAATACATTAATCATGGTTTAATAAATACCCTCACCACCAACTTCCCATCTTTTGAAAATTAGCTTAGCCAAAGCTAATTGTACATTTAGCTCCAATAGTTAAGCTAGTATCTAGAAACTTTTGAAAATTGCAAATAAGTTCCTCTCTAACTCATATAGATAACTTTTTATTTTATTTTTTTTGAAAGCCTTGTCTAACTTCTTACTAAGAGGGAAACAAGGGCAAAAATGATCCCTATTAGCAGTAGATAGCCTTTGTAAAGGTATCATTTGCACTTCTAGTTAAAACCTGTTTAATGCTTCTCATTACGCACAAAATATCCCACAAAAAAAAAAAAAAAAAAAAAATAAAATAAAATAATAATAATAATAATAATAATAATAATAATAATAATAATAATAATAATAATAATAATAATAATAATAATAAATAAAACAATTTAAGTCGTGAACCAGTTCAAACAAAATTGGGATTTTTCCGTATAGCACGGATTTGGTCTGTGTAAGCCTTCACAAAACACAAGTGACATTAAAGAAACTCATTTCACAACAGAAAGGCATTATCTTCCATAGCATCGACACTAGAGGCATTAAAGGCACTACAACTTCACAACCAGCACAAGACCACTGATTACCTCCAACTTGCAGGGAAACTAAACCAAAAAGCCACAAAACTGTATCCTTTTAGAATTGCAAATTCAAACACAATATACATTAGAGCTATTATACACATATGATCCAAGCATAAATGGACTGCCAGTGCATCGGACTGAATTTTTGTCATCGAGAGGCCAAAGACCAGAAATTCAGTAGAAAAGAAGGTAAAGCAGCAAACCAAGTCATGAAAGCCATGCCTGTTGAAGTTTCAAATTGAGCACAGTGGTTCTTTGAACAACTCTGCAGATCATTGCCAATGAGAACAGTGATACCCGCAGACGCACAGGCCGCAGAAAATATGAGAGTAGAAGTGATCTGCAAGACAAGTATAATGCAGATTTAATTTTGAGCAACCTGTGATCCAATAATTTTTTTTTGGGTGTGTGTGGAGACTGGAGAGGGGGGTAAATGAAAGATAGTGAACATTCAGCACAAGACTGTCGCCAGGGAATGGTAAAAGGTGGGAGGGTTATCAAATGCATGCAACCTTACCACGCAATTGCAGAGGGAGTGCACGTTAACTAAATTAATTTAAATTCCATTTTAACCTGGAGTTCATAAAGTTGCCCATTAACAACTCTTTGAAAATCCTGTTGAAAAAAGGATGAATCATGCACATGTAGGTAATGTTGGGCTCAGAATTACAATCGACTAAAACAGACAAATAAATCCTTTGTTACAATTTGTCGTAGCATAATAGTCCAATTAATGGTTTTCAAGCCAGATCCTTAGAATGAGACAGACTGAAAGGAGGAAAAAATATATCTTTGGCAAGATTCCAGAACCTCAAGAGGAGCACTGGGATAGTGGTATGTCAAGAATGAGTGAATGACCACATACCATAATCTGTAGCAGGTCTTCGACTCACATACCAAACTGCCATAACTAATTGAAGAAAAAATTACTTCAACGAAAATAAAATTGTACACCTAAAACCTGACCTTTGGCCGTCCCACAATAATAATCCACGTATTCCTTTTTGAGAAGTTGCAAATTAATTGCAACATTACTTCATTTGGCCAATGATGCTCTCTATCTCTTTCCTCATCACATGGATCTTTATTTTTATCTCTCTCCTCTCCTAAAATACCATACATCCCCTCCACATTGCAATAAAAAGAGAATGGAGAAAGTATAAAAATAGTCCAATCTGTTGTAAATCCAAATGATAATAACTCCAATTTTCAAAGAGTTAATTCCAGGAATATATTTTTATTAAGTAATCAAATCATGCAATGTTCCTATATTATTAATGTAATACATATGATCATGTGATAAAATGGACAATTCTGTCAAAACAAAGTCATGAAGAAGTGGAAAGCTTTCTGGTATGCCAATCAATTGGAAAATAGAATGTAACTTTACATTCTCAATCGTGAGATTATTATAGTAGGTTAGCGAAAGGTCGGATTATAAATAAGCAATTTTCCTACGAATCGTGCCAAAATAACCATCACTATTTCCCACTTTTTAAATTAAAACCAACGCTTATAATTCATCAAACATATAGCAATCTTATCCATCAAAAAGATAACGGCACCACTGGCCACGTCCTCCATCCACAAGCACATAGCTGGATTTTACTAGTCTATTGATACCTCTATTACCTTCTCTAGTACTCTATGCACATAGGAAACTTTAAAGGAAAGAAAATTTTTAATCAGAGAGTTGATATCCTTCATCAGGACACGAAAAGTCGAAAACCACTATACTGCTGTTTCACTTTTAACATGTTGAGCTGAGGTTGGAGCAAGGAGTATCCGTACCTAATATCAGCTTTAAAAAAAATGAAAATCTCTTGCAGTGGAAAGGCTAGAGCTTGCAGCTATCACTTCCACAACCACAATCCCACAATAACCTTCACAGATTATACAAGCCACAGCTAAGACATCCTCAATATTACTTCTAATCACCACTCCATATAATATCCAGAAGCAGCATCCACATTTAACTTGTAATGCTGTAGTGACGGATCCAACCATCTCATACAAACAGATCCCCAACACTAACACTCATATACTACACTTTCACCTTCTCAAAGACTCGACCACACTTCTCCCTCTAAATCACCCACATGGTAATCATAACCATTCCTCAATGTTCTAATAATACTTAACCTGGATTAATAGCCACCGGCCTTATGGAGTAGAAGATTGACAGGATTCAGCTATCAACTTCACAGTGCTACATTTCTAACTTAAATATCTGACTAAAAATACTAAAGAAGGAGAGCAGCATAAATAAGACAGAATTTTGAGACTATTATTGATTAGTGCATGTAAGAGACATCTTTCTATATGCAATAGTAACATTGAAGCTGAAGGATCTATTCAGGTTCATTATTTCATGAATGTTAGTCCAGTAAAAATATAGAGCATGCTACAAAAAGTAATTGTTGAGCTCTCTGATTATTACAAAGAAAAGGTGAAGTCAATCTTACCACATCACCAGCAGCAAACAAGCTAACAGCTCGACAATTACAAAAATTACGTTTGACTAAGATAGCATAGATATCAAGCATTGCTAGTGAAAGGCTCCATAAGATCTGCAAGCCAGAAGCGGCAACAAGAAAGCTGGGAGCACAAATTAAAAACTTCATGTCATTACAAAAGAATTTAAAAATATAGAAGAATAAGAAACTTATACATAAGTTATACAGTGAAGATAGGTAAAAAAAAATGAAGGCGCTGAAGTTCTTAAGCTGGTTATTGCATCTATTTCATATGTTTTTACCAGAGATACAGGCCTCCCTGGTCTAATTTACCGTCTAAGCCAGCCTTGAAAGATAAATACCTCACCCACCAATTTCTCTGAAAAAGTCCTAGAGTGGAAAATACAATTATTAGAAGTGGCTCAGAACTAAGTTCTTTAGCTTCTGAATCCTTGATACACCTGTTAGGGCTGATGAAATAGATGTTGCATTGGCAAAGTATTGGTGATATAAAAGCTTGTGGTTTAAATTATTTCAACTGTCTTCTTTAAGAATTCTTGGCACATTGTTAAACACAAGATTTATGATGCAATTTTAGTAATCTTCCAGAAGTCTAAGTTAACCCCACTTATGGGATTAAGGCTTTGATTGATTGATTCCAGAAGTCTAAGTTGCTAAAGCAGGTACACTGTGCCACTATATCACCCTTGTACCTATAGTAAGTTGCCTTTATTCTGCAAAAGATCTTAGTCCCGTTGCTTGTTCATTAATTTACATAATTATTGCTAAAAGTCTAACTGCTAGGTAACAGAAGGTCGTTGGGGAATTCACAGATAATAATCTTGCTGGCCACTAAATTAGTAAAAGGGTATAACTAGATGCATGCTCAAGGTAGATCTGAAGAAAGCTTATGAGTCTATTGAGTGGAGCTTCCTGAGATCTAATATAGATGAGTTACTAATCCCTGCTATAGGTGTGACTTGGATCATAGAGTGCATAGCTTCTATATCATAATCAGTTCCAGTGAATGGTAATCCTTCCACTTCTTTTCCAGGACAGGGTGGCCCCTACTCATCCTATTTATTTGCATGGGAATGGAATATTTGTCTCAGTGTATGGGTGAGATGGCTGACATCGCTCAAAATCCCAATTTGAATTATCATCTAAAATGCAAAAGACCATACACATTTGATGTTTGACAATGATCTCCTAATGTTTGCAAGAGGAGATTGCACTTCCCCTGATATTGCAGGATTTAATGCAGAAACCCTTCATAAGAATAGTGGTGAGTTACCTTTTTAAATATCTGGGGTTCCTATGGCATCTGCAAATTTGTCTTTCAATCAGTGCAAACCTTTGATTGAAAGGTGGTTGCAAGAATTAAGTTTTGGTCAGCAAACTGCTAACCTATGCCTAAGAAAATCTGTTTACTCAACATAATAATTTATTGGAGCCAAATGTTTTTCATGCCTAAGAAAGTTTTAAGACAAATTAAGAGATATTGCTGGGCCTTTTTTATGGACAGGTGGTGCGATAAATATAGATGAGTACTCTCTTCATCCCTTATTTTACCCCATAGAGGTGAAGTTACTTCTATAATTTTAGGTTGAAAAGAGTTAATAAGAGAGAGTGTGATGGGGTTAATGTAGTGGTTGTGAGTAAAAGGTGTGGTCCCTACAACAAAAGTAGTATGGAGCAAACTCAAAGGGACGGACTAAAAAGGAAAACAGGGAGAATATTAAGAGACAAAGGGAGTATCTTGGAATCAGATGTGCCTACCCAAGGTAGTGGGGGGCAGAATCTATTGGATCTCACAACTTAGGACAAGGCAGCAATTTCCAAGCTTTTTTGGGCCATCACTATGAAACAAGACAGGCTTTGAATAAAATGACTCCATACATACTAGTACACTACATCATAGATAGCAATGTTAGGGATATGCCAACCCCAAATGGTTTATCATGGACTTTTAGAAAAATCCTTTAGTCCAGGAAAACTACAATTATTGGAGGTGGCCAGCAAAACATGTTTCTTGAAGCCAAATTTTCTGCAAGGAAATTTCACACTGAACTAAGGCCAAATGTTGAACCAGTTGCTTGGATGATAATACTCCGTAAAAATTTGGCAAGCCCTAACAGGTTAACAGTTTTTAAAACCGGCTGGAATGAGTGAGAAGAATAGCATTAAAAATGAGTGAGAAGAATAGCTTTATATATATATATAAAATTAAAAAAAAAAAAAAAAAAAAAAAAAAAAAGCAAATCCGGTGATTCAAACTGGCATGATTTAAGGTTTTATATGTTCAATCAAAGTGCGGAATCCATCGAATATCCATTATTTTTAATTGTAATTATTCTGCTGGAATCAGTGATAATACGTTGCAAATGGTTGGTATAAATAAACCTGTTCAGAACTTTGATATGGGATAGTTGGTATAAGTAATTACTCAAGCTTGAAGAAGGTAGCAAGAAGTTGGCACGTTATACGGGATGTGGTTTTCCGAGACTTTGTACAACAGAAATTGGAACGTATTTGATGGGGATTGCGAATATCAGCAAGCTGCAATTAAGGCCATATTTTTAAAGTTGCATGTAGAAGTGGTGCTATATGAAGGGAATTCTCACACCCCTGATAGAAAGTGGGGAAGAAGTGATGCTGATGATGTAAGTGGCCTAGGTCTTTAGATTTTTTCTGTTATGGTGTTTGTAATTGAAAAGTTCTTGTACATAACTCTATTCAGGTGAAAAAAAAAAAAGGTAATGTAAATTGTGCAACATTGCATTGATTGATTCATTAATAAGCACCCAACTTTGCTAGTTTGATTCACTCCACTCACTGCATTATCCCTTTTCAACAAATATGTACAACAAAACTTCAATAAAGCACAACAGGATCGTTCTAACTTCTAACAATAACCTACATCAACAAACATTGTTCCTAATAGCAGCATTACATGAAAATTTCCAGTAACTCCAAGGTAAATCCGAAGGTACAAAAAGGAATGGCATACAGTCATTATACAAAATTACTAGCAGAACAAAACCACCAATGCAGGATAATCACAGGCTACCATCAATCCCAATAGCAGGATTAGAGATGGAAGAGCACCTTTACTTGCAAACACACGAACCGGACTCATTTTATGAGCAAGAATCGGAAGCCCAAAAAAACTAATTAATGAACAACAACAACATTAATTGATAAGCTGATTCCTCAATCCCTACTCCACCAACCCCCAAAGTAGTATTTCTATTAACGGTACATTCAAGTAAGGCACATTGCAACTTTTACCCACAATTCTAACAACACAAAACCCAGAAAAGTTCAATTACAAGCTTAAATTATACCACAAAAACTTCGAAATTTTCATTTACCCACAAAAATTCACATCTACCCCATTTCACAATCAACAAAAATAAATCAAATGTTGGGTAATTAACCATCAAATGAACAACAATAATAACCAGGAAATAAAAAATTTTAGTTACCGAAAAGCAGTGACGGAGGGGAAATCGCTGGTGGTAGACATGACAAGAAAAGCTCCAATGGCGAAGAAAGATTGAAAAAGACGCAACACAAGCCCACCTGGTGTCCCCGCCATTCCTTGAAGATCCTTCATTCTCACTCTCGGCGCCGCCACTGCTGCGTTTTCAGTCGTTAGTGGCGGCGGCGCTTCCACCGGGTGCACCGCCGGATGACTCATTTCCGGCGATGATGAAGATGATTATCAAACTGTGAATCACAATTTTGATCAAAACTACTCCTTAATCCATCGATTTCGCAGGTTATTTGTAGGGAATTTTCAGAGAATTTAGGAATAAATGAGATAGCAAGGAATTTGGGTACTTTTTTCAGTCGTCTGCAAGTTTTTTGGGTAAAGTTAGCTTCTCCTAATTAAGAAAAGGGAAGAAAAGAGGAAAGTCATGAAAGAATAATGGTTGGATTTAAATTACCTTTAATTTTTGAAAAAATTATCCGGAATAATTCAACTTTTACCTTTTCCACCCAAAATAATCTCACATCTCGATTATTTTTAATAATTCAATCTTTGATGTCAATCCACTTTAAATTGGTCTCAATTGGTCATTTAACTTGTTATAACAAGTTACATGACACATGTCGTTATTTAATTAATCTAAAAAATGAAAAAAAAAAAAATAAACTTTTTTAAAGAGAAAAATGAAAAATAATTACTTAATTGATTAAAAAAAATTAAAAACCACCCCCACCAGCCAATCACCCATTACGACCGCCACTCCCACTAGACCGACCTCATGTCGGCACTGGAGCGTCAAGCCGCCCCGGCTGCCTGTAATACCCTGGAAATTTTCTTCCTTTAAAATACTCCTTTTACTCTAAATAAAACTCTTTTTAGGAAATAACCAAAATATTACCGCCACCGTGATAACGGCTAAAGGCGAATTTTCAAAGTCTCACAGCGAAAGTCTAAAACAAAAATTAACTTTTAAAAATAAAACTTAAAACTTGAGTTCACAACTTCAAAACAAAAGTAAAATAAAACATTCACAAGTTGGAACCAATTTAAACATATGGTCCTTCTTGAAACCAATTTAAACAAACATAATAATGTTAATCCATAACAAATCAATAATTCAAATATTAAAACTAAGAAACATAACAAGTAACACTCTGCACTCTATCCCATCATGATCTTCATGCTTCAAGTACCTGTTATTTCCCCTTTATTCAACCCTCTACTCACCATATAAATGGGTTATAGTAGGGTCAATCCAAAAGAAAGCCAAACACAAACACAAGAGTACGAATCAGCAAAGCTGAGTACATATGCACCACACTAACATGAATGTCCTAGCATCAAAATAAAAAGAATAATTAAAATATGCTCGCCACATAATCACAATTCAACTTACCTTTGACTCATAACTAGCAATATTAATTATTAATAATAATTTTGGATTACGCATCGAACGGGTTTCTTTCCTTGGAAATAGCCCATTTAAATATTGAGTTTCCAATCAGGGAGCTACCCCAATTGGCACCTACTATGTCACACTTGGTGACGGAATTCCAACGCATTAATAATAAAAGAAAGTACAGCGTCCTGTACCCTTGTAGAAGTTATGGTTAAATATAAAACCCCATAACTCCCCCCCCCCCCATATGTTCATACTCAAGGTATATACGTTCCAAGAATTTTGGTGCGTATTCTCTTATACTTTACGTGATTTACCAATTTAACATGTGATGACTCAAGCCAATCAATTAAGAACAAACAAAACAACATTCAACACAAATTTCCAATTCATTTTTGAATTAATTAGTGAGCACATACTATTTATTTTAATTAGGGTTTTTTGCCTAGTTTTGTGCACAAAATTGCACGATTACTACCTTAGTACATAAAATGCACTACTAAACTTCCTTGACTCAAACTCAACTTACTTGAGTGAGTAAATACATAAACTAACTTCTTGACTCAACACCAATAATAAATAGGTGAGAAATAAATTCATGAATCATGATCAATAATTCTAATTGTAGCTCTTTAACTCATATATAAGCCTTGCTTATTAAACACATGCTTTCTTGATACTTGAAAATAAAACATACTTCCATGATTCATACATACTTAACTTGTATCATGCTCAATCAAAATCAATTCCAAGCATATAATCAACCAAACATGCTACTAATTCATCGCTTAAATCATACTTTACAAATCCTAGCATGATACTACGCATACACAAATATTCTTGTGCACATACGTACCTTGAATAATGTCTAAACTCAACCACACTCGCTAGAAATCACCTAGCTCGAAGCTTTCTACAAATAAAAATACATAACTATAATTAATCCACTATTCTCACAAATTTCCAGCAACTATAATACTCTTTAAACCTTACTAATTAACCCAATTTAATGACATAAAAGCCATAAAACCTGGGTACTTCAAATCCTTTCAAAAAGACTTAATTTTATTGATTTAAATAAAATTCCAGCATACGTATTTCATATAAAACATCACTAATAGACTAGAAAATCATATTTAAATCATTAAAACCTTTTTTCCCTCTTATGGGTAATCAAACCCTAATTCAATAATTAAAAATTAGTGTGCATAGATAAATTTCAGCATTAATTTGAGGGCTTTATACTCATTAAAACATGTTTAAACCATTAATTAAACAACAACATCAACCTAGGATCAAACCCTAACCATAAACATTAGATTCTCAAATTCTAGAGTTTGTAAATTGTGGTTTTTGATTGAATAAAAATCTAAAAATTATATAAATAATTTAACAACATCAAATACCCAAAATCAATGCCAAAACATAATCAAAATCATGCTTTAAATTAATAAAAACAATAGAATTAAATTAGGAAGAGAAAAGAGTTTTTTTTTATATAATAATACCAAAACCGAAAACCAAAGGAGAGAGAGAAGGAGAGGGTGGCCGGCGGGCTGCAGGCTGCTGCTGCTGCCGCCGGTGGTGGTGGTGGCGCCAGTGGCTGCCGGCATGAGGGGAGAAGAAGAGGGAGAAAGAGGCGTGGGGAAGGATAGGAAAAAGAAAAAGAAAAGGAGAGGGAAAATAAGGGAAAAGAGGAGGGAGAAAATAAAGAGAAAGCTTTTGGAATTTTTGTGAATTTTGACAATTATGATTTTAGAATGAAAAATCTTGAGGCTTTGAAGTATTTATACTCCCCTTTTAAAACAAAAACTCATAATTACAAAACTGTCATTACTAAATCCTACTCCCCCTTGACTTCTTCCTTTGGGGCCAACTTGTTGGGCTTTTAAACATCCTCAATTTCCCAACAAGTTGATCCAACTATTAAAACAAAGATGACCCAATTCAAAACACTTTTATTGCCTCAATTAATGACCCATATTATTTTATGCACACTTACATAATATTTACATAATTAATTTCTTTTTAAAATGAAATGAATCATTTTAATTAATAAAAATAAATAATTATATATATAAAATATTATAAAAGTACGGAGTATTACACTCCCCCCCCCCCTCTCCCTGGACCACCAACCACCTTCAAAATTGTTCCCCGTCCCGATCCCAACCTCTCTCCCCTTCCCCCTTCAATGTTTCCAGCCCCTCCCCCTCCCCTGTCCCTTTTCCGGTCTTCTCCCCTTTCCCTCGGCCCGATTTCGACCTTTCCTCCCCTTCACACGCCTCGATTTCTGCTCCCTCCCCTTCACTTGCCTTGATTTTGGTTAGGTTTAGTTGTGGTGGTTTAGAGGTGACGGAAGGGGGTAAGGGAGGGGCGGCGATAGGCGCAAGGGAACTGTGGTCCGGCGTGACGGGTCTAGCGGACATTTTGGGCCGATAGTGGGGCGAGAAGTGGCTAGGGCTGGTTGTGATTTTAAATTTTATATTATTATTTTTTTATTTTAAAAAAGTTAGTTTTAATTTTTAAATAAGTTAATTAATGTTAATAAGTAATAATCATTTCTTTAAAAAAAATTAAAAGTAAAAGTTTTTTTGACCAATCACGTTGTGACACGTGTAAATTAAACTTAATAAAAAAAATTACCTAGTCAACCGGTTACAGGTCACTTAGGATCATTTATAGCGAATTGACATTAAAGGTCGGATTATTAAAAAAAAATCGAAAGGTGGGATGATTTTGGACAAATGAGGCACGGGTCGGATTATTCTGGGCAATTGTTCGTAAAATATATTTGATAAAATAAAAAGTGATGCATCTAATTTGAAATTTTCTTATTTAGAAAGTGATGCATCTAAAACAAAATGGAGGAAGTATACAATTTTGCTTGTGTATAAATCGGGTGCCCTCCTTGTCTCCTTGAGACTCTGGCTGGTGGCTTTTTATTTCCCCCATCTTTCTCCTCTATCTTAGAGGTGATAAAAAATTCAAGCGGGACCTTAACATCAAATGTCATGTCCAAATCAAAAGTCGCGGGCTTGTCGAGCCATAGTGGGCTTATTAACTTATTTTGACCTTTTCAGATCAAATTCGAATTTTAACTAAAAAAACATTTTTTACTTGCCTAACCCGCCCTATTTTCGAGCCAAATCAGCCGAACTAGCGGCCCGGTCATAATTTATCACCTCTACTAGCTCTATCTAGATTATATATAATACGGTATACAATAACTCAACATTTTCACCTAAAAAAAAATCAACGAGTTCGAGCGTTTAACAACCAAATTGCGCAATTCTTTCGATTCAACAAATTCGATCTTATCACATATTCACATTCAACAAAATCAAGCAAATTCAACGTTGTATTCATCAGGTTTGTGCGTTTTCTTGAAAATTTACACGTTGGACTTTTTTCACTATTCATGTATTAGTTTTGATTATAATATTTTACTAACATAATAAAAACATATCATAATATATGTTGTTAAATAGATATTAATATAAAGTTTCAAAATATAATTTCTAAAATAATTTTCATTAATATTTAATTATATAAAATAAAGTCAAACTAGTGCATTAACATGTATGCAATGTTGATTGTATCATGTATTCTGGGACATAGGGAGTACTAGATAATTTTCAAATTTACTCACAAAAGTAAAAAACATAATATAGCCATGTGTGGTCTTGTTTGATTCGTTTAACGAATGCTCTATTAATATTCAATCGTTATAATTTTAAAAAGTATGTAATGAAAGTTATAAATGGTCAAATAGGTATATTGAAAAACGTGTAAAAGTCAAAATGTATCCAATAAAAAGGGACTGAGGGAGTATTATACTTTAGATATAAGGTAATTTTGTGAAAAATTAAGAAAATTTTACCGAAAACTACCATTTAAATGACCATTTTTTAGAACAACTACCATTTTTGTTTTTTTTGAAAAAACTACCACAAAAACCTTGAGTAACACAACCATGTTTAATTTCTTGGCAATAATCTCCAATTAATAAGCTAAGAAATCGGTCGTTTCGGCGACGAGGAAAAGGAGGAGGGGCGGTTTCATCGGCATGATAAGGGAAAGGCTGTAGCGGGAGTAAGGGAAGGGGGGTGCAGTGGTTTCGATGGTGTAGGTGGGTCGCCCGAGTGGTTTTAGGGGTTGGGAGGGGTCAGGCGGCCGTTATCGGTTGATAGGGGAGGCGGCTGGTCGAATTTCGATTGGGCTGGGGGTTAGGGCTAAGGTTTAACGGTGGGAGAAGGGGAGGAGGGATGGTGGCTGGCTGGGAAGGGTTTTAATTTTTTTTTCCAAAAAAACTTTGGATCAATTAGGTTGCGACACATGGCTTTACAAAATAAAAATCAGCCTTTGTTTAGGTAACTGGTAAATCGACCTAGTGGAAGAAAATCCACCCAAAAGTTCATAGTGCTCTCAAATAAACGTAAGTTGGGTTTATTAAGAGTAAATCGCTGAAAATTCAGATTAATGAATTAAAGTGAATTTTTTTTAAAAAATAAAACTTAGATTTTGGAAGCACTCAATATAATAAATCGAAAAGCGAAGACAAGTCAAATTCAGGGTTAATTGGAGGATGAAATGGAGTCGTTTGACTCTTGGAATTGCCCTTTCTAATCTCTTTAGTTTTAATAAAAATGTGTTCCTTTTATAAAAGTGGTGTTACTTATGTTTGTTGGGGGACGCAGCAAAATTTCAATTTCAGGTTTACATAAACCCTTGTTGAAGGAGGATGGTATTAGTTGTTGTTAAACCCATTGTTATTACAATATCATGACCTTGTAGGAATATATATATATATGACCTTGTAGGAGAATATATATAAGATATGGTTTTGTCCGATCGCAAAGAAATGTGATTGACATGCATGAAGTAAAGATCTCAAGAGGATTTTATCCATTTGAATTATTGGGGTCCCTTAGGATAAGACATACTGATTTTGGGCCGTCTCCTTCATTTCAGCAACATTTTTTCTGGTATTTAGAGAGCCACAAGGGAGGGAGATGAGAATCGATCTCGGGATCACCTACAACCGGGAGGGAAGCTCTAAGCTAACCACTTAAACTATTCCCTCACTCTCTCATTTCAGCAACATTCATACACTTTTAATTATATGTTAGAAAAGACCTTGCACAACATGAAACATCATCACAACTTCCCTCGTTCTATCAATAGTTCCATCGCATATTTAAATGTATGTTGGTAAGCCTTATGTGCGTTGTCCTCACTCGTTGTAATAACTTAAAGGTAAATGTCGTTAATGACCTTAGTTGGTATTGTGTAAGGGCTTTTTATGCGTATAGTAACTTATGTTACTTTACATTTCTTTTATTTGTTGTAAACTCAGTTTAATTAATGTAATTTCAGGTGTTTTTAAAATAAAATTAAAAAAAATCTAAAAAACTTACAAATAATTGATACAAGCTTTGGTGGTGTGTGAAAATAATATTTGAGAAATGGAAAAATAAAGGAAAACTAATACTTTAAAAACAGATTTACTTAAAACCTCGATAAAGCCCGCCCTGTCCCATAATTAGACGATCATACATAGACTCGCCCCATTTATTTATTAGACGGATGTAACCCATATTATAAGTGTGGCGGGTGTTGGCTTTTAAAAGGCCTCCATTCCTACCTCTCACTTATTTCATTGAAGCGCACTCAACGGACTCCATGGAAGCGTTCTCCGTTGAATCAAATTCTTGTATCCCCCATTGAATCAGCTTTTAAGGTAAGTTGTTTGTTGTTGTTATCATCATAACAATTTCACAATCTAGGGTTTATATTTGATCTAATCTAATTTAATTATCAGTGCTTTAAGTTTAGGGTTCGTAAATCTGAACCATTGGTTCTAAATTCTTAGATTATGCAACATCATAACCAAAAGAAAAGAAAATTATGAGCCTAATTTGATTATTGAATCAAATATCCCTAAAATTATGTATTTTTCGAGATAATTGAATATGAAATTAGATTTCTTTTCCCTGGGCCTAGGGCGGCCGCCCCTCCTGCCCTGCCTCAGGGACGGGCCTGCTCATCTCTGGTGGGATCTTCTTACTCTCTGGTTAGTTTTCTAATATGGGGTTCTTTTAATTTTTTTGTTTTTTTAATTAGGTTTTTTTTTGAACTTTTTTGGTGGAAAATCTATGCATATTTTGGTTGAACTAATATTAATATTTATATTTTATGCATCCGGGGTTGATGAAATGTTGTAATGATGAATAAAAATTACATTTTTTTTATAATTTTTTTGGTGGTAAATTAATGTTAATATTAGATTTAGATGAACTGATGCGCTTTTTTTTTTGTTTTTTTTTTTTTGTTTTTTTAAGCTTGCATATGGCTTGTTGTGATTTTTTTAATGACGATAAAGAAGTGAACTTTTTAAGGGTTGAATTCATAATTTTTATTATATTGGAATTGAATGTTTGATGTTAAATCATGGTTGGTAATTATGGTATAGCATTCTTGTTGCAGGAGCTATATAAAACTACTGTTAAAGCATGGTTAGTTGAGAGTATTACATGTTTGCATATGGCCACTATCATTTTGTTTTAAAAGTGAATTGAACACTAATGAACAATACACTGTAAAATATTAACTGTATTGATCACTGACACTGATTCACTGACTAAGGCTCTGATTCATTAATTGACCCTTGAGTCCAGGTTTCGTTCTAAAGGTGAATTGGACACTAATGAACAATCCATATTATTTGCCAAATTCAAGCTCTGCAATCCCTGCCTTTTGCCATGAAGTAGCGTTCATTTATTAGTTAATTATTATCAAGACCTGTTGTGCTCACCTTATTTTCACTTATTTCAGGTCTAATAAGTTTACGTAAGTTTAGTTTTCCTAAAAAAAAAAAGTTCACATAAGTTTAGTTAAATTCAGTTAAGGAAAAATAAGTTCTGAAAAGGGTTATCCAACTTCAAACTACAACTAAAATAAGTTTTAATAAGTTCATGTAAGTTTAGATAAGATTAGATAAGTTCATATAAGTTAAAATCAGGTGAACATAACACACCCTTATTAGATGATATGTAATGATTTCTCACTGATGTATAGTGTAGTTAAGTAATAAGTTTGACTAATCCCCTTATTTTTCTAGTAGGTTCTGAATTTGTTTTGTGAAGGATCATTGATGGGCTTGAATTTTAAATAGGTTGGGTTAGATGGGGTTATATATTGGATCGGGACAGGTCAGATGGGCCTCTTTAGTTCATTAATTTTTTTAGATTTTACATGGGTCTGGTCAGATCGGGTTAGATGGGCTTTCCCGACCTGCCTCATTTATGAGTACCATTGACCCAGCCCGGCCCAGACCGTTTTAAATTGGATCAAACCCTGCCCATTGAACAGACCTAATGCCAAGCAAGAAGAATAAGCACTGTAGATGAACTCCTGTCAACTGGATAAGATCAAAACTGATAGATAGGAATTTCTCCTCTCAACTCAACCTAACAGAGTATCATCCTTTCTTTCTCTTTCTTCAATTCTTCAAAAGCTTGTTGCTAACTCTTTTGAAGACAATCTTTTACAAGCATTTTACTTTCTCTTTATCATTTATCTGAATTTTCTAATGAAAAAAAATACTATAATTCACTTCGAATTCTGTTCACCAGGGTTTTGCATTTCTGTCATATCCATTGGTATTGTTGCTGTTTTGAGGATATTGGAACTCAATCTGTCACGGTTTAAGGTTTTTAGTTTGTGTAATTGCCTCATCGTTTGGTAATTGTTCGTCTTCTGTTCATAATCAAAGTGACTATAATTGGGTATTAATGGTAAAATGCAGAATTTGAATATTGCAGAAGGGATTTATTGTAATCATAATTGATTGATTAATTTGTTAGGTGTTGAAATTTTTAGTTTCATTTGGCTATAATATTTGATGGGCTCTTATATGTTGCTAAACTTGAGAAAATTTCGTGCGTTTAGTTTTATCTCAATGTAAATGTTTTTTTTTGGATTTTATTTTGATTCAATTGGCTGTATGTTTAGTATTTCTTAATTGCTTTGTTAGTTATTGGGCATTGGGGATTTCATATGTTTATAATATTTGATGGATTTATTCATATATTTTGTCAAAATCGAGAAAGTTCTGCGCTTTTTAGTTTGATCATATATATATATATTTTTTAAATTATTTGAGGTTGATACGGTTCAAGTAGTATTTATTTAAGACGTCTTCTGTATTTTGAAGATTGCATCTCTTGCAGATTTTTCTTTTCATATCTTGCCTCTGTTTTTCTTGTTATCTGTTGTCTGATAACAGCGCTGGATTGGTATTAGCATGTGCACCCTTTTTTTGTCTATTCTTTGCTGATGATTCTATTTCTCAATCTCACTTGATTATAATTTTTTGTTATCTTATCTCAGAATTACTAATTGATTATAGTATTATTTCGGCAGATTTTTTTTGTCATTAATTGTTTGATTTTCACACTTGTATGCCTACCGCAAATTTTTACCGAACAAATTTACAATCCATCTCATGTAAAGAATTCATAATGGCCCAATTTGTGGGATTTATTTGAAATTATTTGAAATTGCAAGAAGAGGAGAAAGAAAGATGCATAAATTACGTTCCTGAATTTTCCGCCATTAAATAAATTGATCATGGTTGATAAAGTGACTCTTGCTGTCTTGTTATGTTTGCTTCACTTGTATGGCTGAATTACTGTTGATGATTTTGGGTTTCTGATATTGTGAAGAAAGATGTAATTTCTATTATTTGGCTAAATTAATTTTGAATCCATTTTAGGCTTAATTTGGTGATGAAATGTGGTAGTTTTTGTGTTTTGTCGATTTGATATGAATTTGGTTATCAGACTTATCACTTACAAAGTAGCAAAAATGATTTTTTTTTGTTCTTTCATAGATTGCATGTTTATGATTATTGATTGATTGAGAAACTAGTAAAGCATGCATCAAGCTATTTGGTATGCAGGCTAAGCATATCAATAATGAATTATTGATAAACACAGAGTTGCAGTTTATATTTTTTTTAGAAACATAGGTGTTTTGAATTAGGATAAGAAAGGAGTTATATTGTTTAAAATATGTGTTCTATCGTTAAGATGTCATTAATTGTGAAGTATGATTACAGAGTACTTAAACCTCTATTGAAACATTATATATATTTTTCTGATATTATCAAGATCCCATGCATTAACGGGATATAAGCACTTTGCAGATTCGAGATGGTAAATCTTATGTTTATTAATGACATCTTACAATACATATTCTAATTCAATTACAGAGTACTTAAAATTCTACCGAAACATTATTTATATAGATTTCTAATATAACCTTAATGGTATTAAATTTTTCAGATATTGTTGTGAAGGCAAAATACATTCTTATGCTCCGTATGTAATTTCCTCAAAATATTTAATTAGTTTTCTCCCTTAAGCCCCACACTCTAGTAATAATAATTACAGTCTTAGTAGCATTTATAAGAGACCTTCTGATATACCACCTTCACACCCACATTTGAACTTTGGAACCCCTAAAATTGTTCCACAACAAATTCAGGGCTCTCAAAATTACCCTATAGGGCCCATAATGCATTTGAGGTCGTTATTGCAACCCTCGTTCTTTTCGTTCTTACATCGGCCTCTGTTGAGTCCTACGGTCTTTAGGGAGTTTGTTCCCCCTATTACGGGCTCGAATGAGCTTCCCACAGAGGAGAAAGATGGTGGTTTAAGAGGAGGTGGGGTTTAGAAAAGCAAAACACTCCAATGATTTTCCTTTGTTCATCTAGTTGGTTGTTTATTTGGTTTAGAAAAGTGTCTTCCACCAATTGGCATAACCCAATTGCAAATTTGGTTCAATTTTCAATATTCATTTCAAGTTTTCTGTTGTTATTGCTGTAAAAAAATTAATTTGCAGTTATAGTTTGAAGTGTTGAGGGATTAGATAATACTTAGATTATCCTGTTTGGTGGTTTGAGTATTAATTTAAAATTTGTTAGATGAAATTCCAGATTCTTTTTTCTTGATTTTTTTTTTAATTTTTTTTTTTTAAATTTTTTATCTAAGTGCTGGTAATTTACATAGATATTATATGTAAAATTAATCTGGTTGGTCTAACTATTGTATGATTGTAGTTGTTATTGAGCAAAAAGATGGACTAAAAAGGCAAACTCTGAATTACGGCAACGTTATTTTAGCTGTTCAGCCGTGCAATGTATGTATAGTTGGCCAAGGTTGCTTAGGATCTACATTTTGTCATCACTTCTTCAGTTGTCATGTGTTTTATTTACAAGCTTGCTGCATTGAAAAAGCAAAACTAGTTTTGAAATTATTCCAACATCTGATGGCTGTGCAATTGCCTCTATGTTAGGTTGTGTTGTAGAAGGTAGAAAGCGTGGTTAGAAATAGAATTCAATTGAATATTATATCTACTGCACGTCTTTTCATGGAGCTATTTTATGGTTGGTTTTGATATAATCTCTTTGTCCCTCTGTTTGTCTTATATTGTCAGTATAAAGATGCGATTGAAGGCTGCAAGACTTTCTAGAGCAGCATCTAGGGCGGAAACTGGCCCTACTATGGTGCGAAGCTGGGATGACTTGAACTACGATATATTAATGGGTATAATTACTAGAGTGCCTTGGCGTTGTAGGCTTTATGTTGCATGTTTGGTAAGCAAGTCGTGGTTGGCAGCAGTATTAGACTCATTGTCACCTGGTGGTGTGATCAACCTCAAAGTCATAGATCCCCACAAGTTGAAAAATGACTTTGATTTCCCCAGGTTTCAGAGAAGATACCTTTGTTTCCTGAAGCATATGTTGGATATTAAGCCAGTTGACTCTTGTTCTGCATTGTGCATTGGTGAAACTGTGCTAAAGCCACACAAGTATGTCTATATTGCTAAAAGGTAAATGAATTTTTTTGTCAATTTTGTCTGCATTGTGCCTTGGTAAAACTTTGCTAGTCACACAACACACAAGTATGTCTATATAGCTGAAAGGTAGGTGAATTTGTTGTCAACTTCGTCTTTTTATAGTTGATCCCATTGAAAATGGAATGTTTTTTTGGTTCCTTCCCAGTCTTTATTATCACTTGTTAGCAATGTGAATTCCTATGGTTGATCTTTATAGAGATTTAACTTATTGGATCTTGAGAATGCCATTGAAATTGTCAAAGGATGTTTCCTGAAAGATTAAGGATAACAGGGGGTTGTGGGTACATTTATTTCAATGTTTTAGGCGTATATAGTGGTTTTTGGGAGTTGATTGTTAAATAGCAGGGGCATTTTGGGAGGAAAAATCCGGATATTGGACTCTTGAAGATGGCTTTACTCACTGAATGATATTATTAAGATGGCACAATACCGGAGTACTACAGATAAATTTGGATTCATCACATGTTTCAAGATATCAGTATGCAATTTGCTAATGTTAATCTTAGGGTATGCCCTCTTTATGAAATTTATATGCACTTTTCAGGACACCCTCCCTGCAGCGGTTGGTTATCTCTGAGGCATTGGGTTACAGATATTCATGTTTTTTGCAAGCTATGTGTTATTGGAGGAAGTTGAAGAAAGTAAAGTGTCCTGTAGATCTGTTTGTATTCTGCTCAGTCTGCTTTAAAAAGGTTGAAAGTCTTCAGTTATTTGGCGTTGTGGATGATGCTGCAGCAAAAGCAATCCGTGATAGATGTCCTAGACTCAGACGATTGTATCTCATCTCATGTGCTTTATCAATCACTGCATTGTCAACAATATTAGATGGGCACAAACGATTGGAGGTGTTGGATACCCGACATAGTTTCTGTGTCCGTGACTGCAAAAAGACTGCTAGTATTGGGATATCTCAATCTGTGGAGTGGAATGAAGAAGAGATTCGCTGTAAGGCTGCTGGTATAAAGTTGCACTTGAGGTGCACTAAACAGCGTTGTCCTAAATGTTCTGCAACTTGGAAACACTGCTATCCAAAAATGAAGGGTCGACTTGCAAATTATCGTTATTGGCGGTATATTTAATCTACTTGTAATGTTGTCTATAACATTTTAATTTATAAAGAAAATTGCGATAAAATTTCCCTCACCCAAAATTTTTACCAGCCAAAATATTTATATCATAAAAGTTCAGTTAAACGATAATGTGGTTTGCAATTTTCTGTTTTTGACGAAATGGATTGCAATTTATAATACTATTTATTCAAAGGATTTAATATTATTGAATACTTAAATAAACATCATATAACTGAGTTGACGTGTTAGGTGTGTCGGTTTTGATTTGAAATTTTCAACTTAAACCTAACCTATTTAACTTCTTGTCAACCTAATTAATTAAATAGGCCGAGAGTTTTTGACCCAAAGTTGCTAGTTTCGGGTTGGGCATTGTGTTGTGTCAGTTTTTTCCAACCCTAAGCAAAACAATCTATCAAAGGAGGAAATGATGAGGAATTTTGATGAAATAAACATGTAATCATATCAAAGTATACAATCCAGAAGGTTCACCAATAAGTACAATACTAGGGCAAAGTATGAATTAAGAGATCTTCAAAATCAAGGCAAAATCATACTACTAAAGTTTTAATACTCAAACTAAAATTAACTCAATTTCATTACAAAACCATTAAAACTAATCTAAAAAGGTGTCTGTCAAGGAAAAAAAAGAAGCTAAAAAGGTGTTTCTCTCCTCTTCTTTCGTGTCAGCTTTCATCAAATGGAGTTTTGATCCCCTGCTTCCCATCATCATCTACCATCTCAATCATCAAAGCTCATCACTATCACGTACGAGCATATTAAATCGCGTCGAGCTTAGGCTTTCCTAATCGGTAGATCTGAATATGATCAAAACCATCCACATCGACAATCAAATCACAGCAATCAAAGATAAAGGATGGCCTTCTCATTGTGTTTACTAGCTCAGCACGTTGTTCCTCCAACATAGTAGCAAACATTGGCCATTCAACTAAGAAGACCATTGCTTCAACATCCCAAGCACCTCCAGTGTTATCAACAACCAATATTCGATTTCTCTCTCTAGGAGCAAAGCATTTGAGAATCGTATTTTCAGAAACTAATGGATCAAAAATTTTCAGACGAATACCGTTAATCTTTAACAACGATCGACAAATGTAAATTGCCGGTGATTCTCTGATGTCATCTGAATCCACTTTGTTTGAAAATCCATATATAGCTATACTCTTGGAACCTGCAATCATGTGTGAAACATTTTGCACCAGCTCATCCATCTTTCTTCTTCTCATTTCCCTAATCATGGTAAAAAACTTCTTTTCAAATGTCATTCCTACATACTCACACAAATATGCCAAATAATCTATATCTTTTGTCAAACCCATCCCTCCATAACCCGATCTTGAATTAATAAAAACCTGATTCAATCTTGAGTTTGCAGTTATGTTGCTTCTAACATCATCAAAATTCGAGCCAACCTTTTCACATAAGGTAGATCCAATATTCATAAGTGTCAACTGAGCTGCAAGAACTGCATTAGATAATAACTTCCCTATTTGCACAGAAGATTGTGAACCAATGATTTCGATATTATCAATATTGACCACTCCCGCATACAAATCTCTAAAGAGATCTAAACTATTCAGACCTTCATAGAAATCACCTAATACCACCTTCTGAGGATGTAGCAAATCTTGAACAGCAGTACCAATAGAAAAGAACTCCAGGTTTGTAATGACGCTAAGACGGCTAGCATCGTAAAATCCATTAATGTGGTTGGCAATGTTTGATTTATGGTCAACTGGTACAGTAGATTTGATTGCTACACCTTTCCAACCAGGCATCTTCAAAATTCTTGATGTCCAAGTCATTCTTGAGTACTTTGGGCTTCATCTTAAGAGGTATATCAACTGCTATGAAAACCATTTGACATAGATCAAGTTCATGATCAATGTTGGAGCTAAAATGCAGATTCCCTCTGTCAATACCTTCGTTAAGATATAAATCCATATCAGGCTCAGAAAAAGGCATAACTCTTTCATTTGCAGCATTGATACCATTCATATCATTAATCCTCTCAACATCCTTATCCAAAACAACGAAATGTTTATCGTGCCAATAGTGAGCAAGCACCATCATAGTTAATACTCCAACCCTCCCTCCACCTATACAACATATCCTTCCTATATCTTCCAACTGGGGCTGTAAATCAAACAAAATATTTCCTATCAATATCATCAAACCAAGCCAAAACAGTTTGTACACTTGTTGATAATCCAAACAACATTGACTTATAGGTATAAGTAATCAAACAAAATATTTCATATCAATATCATCAAACCAAACAAAACATTTTGTACGCTTGTTATTAATAATCCAAACAACAATGACTTATAGGTAGGTATAAGTGAAGTTTGCACATATTATATATTGTGTTTGTAAACAATAAGGTCAAACACAAGTGTTAGATATGTTGTAACAAGAAATAAATTTGATAAAAAATAATAATATTGTTTAGAACTTACAAATGGTGCAACATCTTCATCATTAGGACCACCACTAGGATTACCTACATCGTTGGAGTGATCTTGATTGTGATCAGAAGAATCACCATTAGGATTACCTACATCGTCGGAGAAATCTTGATCGTGATCAGAAGAGTCGTCCATGTCACTGTTGTCCAAATAATTTAAGGTAAGTATGTTACTTCTTCTGAAGTTATAATCACATACAAAATATTTAAATTATATGATCAAAATCATTAATATTTAGCTATACAAGTTCCAAACAATCATAAATTAAACAGATTGATCTTAGCAATGTTCAATTAATAAGCTATATAATAAGTTCCAACAATTAATAGACCTTTAATATATGTGCCTTCAAAAGGGTTTTCTCCATAAATATCCATAATCATAAATTTACTTCTTGAAGGCTTAACCCTCTTGATACTTGAAATCTTTACAAAATCTACATGTTTCGCAAAACCCAAATGATAATCCTTGTTCCTAATATGGAAAACTTGAGCTTGAATTATCCCCGTCGCCATCGCTCAACCTAATCAAATTACGCTCATAATTTCATATTGAATTATCTCGAAAAATACATAATTTTAGGGATATTTGATTCAATAATCAAATTACGCTCATAATTTTATTTTCTTTTGGATATGATGTTTCATAATCTAAGAATTTACGAACCCTAAACTTAAAGCACTGATAATTAAATTAGATTAGATCAAACATAAACCCTAGATTGTGAAATTGAAGTGATGATAACAACAACAAACAACTTACCTTAGAAGATGCTTCAATGGGGGATACAAGAATTAGATTCAACGGAGAACGCTTCAATGGAGAACGTTGAGTGCGCTTCAATGAAATAACTCGAGGTAGGAAATAGGAATGGAGGCCTTTAAAAGCCATGACCCGCCATTGTTATAATATGGGTCTCACAAATAAACGGGGCGGATCTTTATATGATCGTCTAATTACGAGACAAGTGGGCTTTATAAAAGTTTTAAACATGTTTTAAATATCAATAATAATAATAATAATAATAATAATAATAATAATAATATATAACTATAACTATATATTAAAAGACACACCAGCAATGACACGTGTCATTTTTTGGTGTGTCCTTATTTTTCTTTTTTGAAAAAAATAAATTATTATATATGTTAATAATAGCAAGAGCTGGCGCCTGGCACCTTGGCTGTGCTAGCAGCCCAGCCCGCATACGCAAGAGCGCCGCAAGCAAGCCACGCAATGCGGGCTGCTGCTGCTGCTTCGTTGCGTGTGCTAGCGAGGCCCAGCTCTTGCTTGTGGCTGGTGCTGCTATGCTAGCAAGCACACATCGCCACAGCACACGCATGCATAGCACGCTGCTGGCGATGCTCGTGCTAGCGAGGCCCGGCTCTTGCTTGTGGCTGGTGCTGCTATGCTAGCAAGCACGCATCGCCACATCACACACACGCACAACACGCTGCTTTGAATGTAGTAGTGCACACGTTTTGTTTAATCTAATGCAAGAAGCAACAAAAAATATGCAAGAAAATCCAAAATTGATCAACAATGACATTTCACATGCAAACACGACAAATGAAATAAAACCTTATTAAAACTAAGTAAAAAGATATCAAAACAATGAAAAACTAACTAGAAACTCCTAAAAATGACATAAATGACACTTATCAGGGTGCGACACGAAGGGTTCAGTCAAGGTTAAGCTGTAATATTGATTATACATTAATATTACTGATCGGAAGCGGCCTCCACCTAGGCATTCCGATCACTTGACCTCACTGAAGAATTAGCTTTCTAATAATTCCGAACCCTCTATCGGAATAATACACTTGTTGGAAGGACACCATTCCTTTTAGCTTTAACTCTGTAATAATCGCTGACATAGGTGACTAGCCACTTTGTTAGTTGCTGGCCATAGTTAGGGCAAGGAGAAATAACCCTGACTTCTCTAGCCCAACCCTAACACATAAGTGCGGCGTTGATTAAGTCCTTTTTCTCTACTTTGGGGAGGATGTGATTCCTCACCAAATCATGATCTCTGCCCACATCAAAGGTGTTTCGTACAATATGACCTTTTGGATCTCTCGAGATAGTGGGTTTGTAACCCCATCCCTTGACAAACCTTTGATTGAGCTTGTTTTTATTTGTGTGGACGTAGTTGCGTTTCCACTTTGAAAGTGTGTCCTTAGCCAAATGATGGTTAGGACATTCACTTAGGTACTTCAAAGTTCCCCATTCCTCCAGAATAGCCTGAGGATTATCAACTAGGATTCCTGGCATGTGAATGACCAGTTCTCTGATCTGTCCATCATTTGTATCTCCAATCCTTTAAGGTCTTCCAAATCTTCTTAATTGATCTCTTGAAGTTGATTGGGATTGCCCCCCTTCTGCCATTGTAGAAATGCTTTTGAAGTTGAGAAGATTTTTGGGTTTTCAGAGAGAGAAAGTGTGAATTTTACTTTGTAGAGAGTGAAAGAAAAGAACTTCTTTAAATAAGGTTGGTGAGGAAGTAGGAGTAATATAACTATAAATAGTTATAGATATATTTGGTCATAAGCGGTTATTATATGGGAAGTCGGATGATTTTTCTTAGTGATTTGAAATCACGTCTTACCCCATGTTTAAACACCGTTTGATACATGCCCTTTCACTTCCTTATTATTTGGGAAGGGATGTATAT